CTGGGCCAGCAGGAGCAGGTCCTGGCAGGGCAGGGCAGGTCCTGGCAGCTCTGGGCCAGCAGGAGCAGGTCCTGGCAGGGCTGGGCAGGTCCTGGCAGGGCTGGGCCAGCAGGAGCAGGTCCTGGCAGGGCTGGGCAGGTCCTGGCAGCTCTGGGCCAGCAGGAGCAGGTCCTGGCAGGGCTGAGCAGGTCCTGGCAGCTCTGGGCCAGCAGGAGCAGGTCCTGGCAGGGCTGGGCAGGTCCTGGCAGCTGTGGCTGTCCCCAGACGTCCATGACGCTGCAGTGGGCCATGCTGGAGCTGGCGCGGGCTCCGGGCGTGCAGGAGCAGCTGCGGGCTGAGGTCCTGGCAGCCAAGCGCGAGGCAGGAGGAGACCGTGAGAAGATGCTGAAATCCACGCGGCTGCTCAAGGCCGCCATCAAGGAGACGCTCAGGTGAGGAGGAGGAGGAGGGGTTCAGGTGAGGAGGAGGAGGAGGGGTTCAGGTGAGGAGGAGGAGGAGGAACTCAGGTGAGGAGGAGGAGGAGCTCAGATGAGGAGGGGAGGAGCTTAGCTGAGGAGGAGGAGCTCAGGTGAGAAGGAGAAGGAGGAGCTCAGGTGAAGAGGAGGAGCTCAGGTGAGGAGGAAGAGGAGAAGCTCAGATGAGGGGGAGGAGATCAGGTAAGGAGGAGGAGGAGCACAGGTGAGGAGGAGGAGGAACTCAGGTGAGAAGGAGGAGGAGAAGCACAGGTGAGGACCACAGGTGAGGAGGACACACCCGCCCTCCCTGCAGTGTCCCCAAAGCCCTGGTGGCATGTGTCGTGCAGGCTGCACCCGGTGGCCGTGACCCTGCAGAGGTACACCACGCACGAGGTCATCCTGCAGGACTACCGCATCCCGCCCGGGGTGAGGGACACGGGGACACGGGGACAGTGGGGACATGGGGATGTGGGGACATGGAGATATGGGCATGTGGGGACAGGGGATATGGGGACGCGGGGACAGGAGACTGTGGGGACATGAGGATATGGGGACACAAGGATGGAGGGACATGGGGAGATGAGGATGTGGGGACACCAGGACACAGGGATGAGGGGACACGGGATGTAGGGAGGTGGGGACGTGGTGACACGGGGATGTAGAGACACGAGGACTTGTGGACATGGGGATGCAGGAACA